CCTCTCTCCGCAACTTCCGATGTAACTGAACACAAATTTGGTTGTTTGGTTTTTTTGTTGTTTTGTTTTTTTTTTTCTAAATTTTATTGTATTATTGCAATAAATCTTTAACAGTTAATTTTTTTTTTTTTTTAAATTTTATTTTTAAAGTTGTATAACTGTTACTTCTGTGTGGTCTCTTTTTCACTGTGCTGGGGCGAAAGTACACAGGAAATTTCCAGCCTTCGAAGCAATCACAGGGACCGGGCCTGTTACAGTGCAATCAGTGGTACAGCGGTGGAAATAAGCAATACCCATTCTAAAAAAATACTCTTACATAAAATAACTGCATCTCCAGGGGAGCAGGATGGGTTCCTGCACAACACACACACAGACACACACACACACACACATCCCTCTTGTACATGTAAACGGGTAAATCTCTCGTGTGAGCCTGGCTCGGGGTTGCTCATGTGTGCTGGGTGATGGTTTCTGCAGGTGCTGAATTCCTGCTGCATGCAGAGGGAGATGCTCCTCCTTACGAGGTCGTTTCAGGATGCAAGATGTGTCTTTTTGTGGCTGTAGTTATTCAAGTGAAGCAGTGAGTGGAGGGGAAAGGGCTGAGCAGGCTCTGCCCCTGGGACCAGGTGGCCTGGCAGCCCATGGGTTGCAGGCTGCTGAATGATGGAGGACAACCAACCCCTCCCACTCGGTTTTTTGGGATGTATCTGATAGGGGACACTGATGCCCTGTGATTCCTGGCTGCTGCACACTCAGGATTGGGAGCAGCAGCCACCCCACAAGCTGGGGGCAGGTTGTTGCCTCAGTCCCAGCACAGTCAGTCCTGGCCATGGGCAAAGCCAGGCCTGACTCTGAGCTCAGCTCCTGCCTGTGGGATGTTCAGGTCAGCTCTGCTTAAGCAGGGCCAGCAGCAGCAGGTTTTGTCCTCTGCCCACACTGGTTTGTGGCAGGAGAGCAGCCTGATAATGCCCCGAGTCCTGTCCCAACTCCAGGGTTGCCTGGACCAGCCAAAGGCAGGCTGGGAAGAGAAACGCCCCAGGGTGAGGCTTCAGCACCATTCCCACCGGGCAAGAAGTGGGACTCGAGACAGAGATTGGATGTTTCAGTGCAGTTTTGTGCAGGTGTGAGATCCCAGAATGGTTTGGGTTGGAAGAGACCTCACAGACCACCCAACCCCCTGCCGTGGGCAGGGACACCTTCCACCAGCCCAGGTTGCTCCAAACCCTGTCCAAGCTGCCCTTGGACACTTCCAGGGATGCAGGGGCAGCCACAGCTTCTCTGGGTAACCTGTGCCAGGGCCTGCCCACCCTCACAGCCAACAATTTCTTCCTAATATCCCATCTAACCCTGCCCTGTCAGTTTGAAGCCATTCCCCCTTGTGCTGTCACTCCAGGCCCTTGTCCCCAGTCCCTCTCCAGCTCTCCTGAAGCCCCTTTAGGCTCTGGAAGGGGCTCTCAGGTCTCCCTGGATCCTTCTCCAGGCTGAACACCCCCAGCCCTCCCACCCTGCCTCCAGAGCAGAGGGGCTCCACCCTTGGAGCATCTCCGTGGCCCTGATGACAGTTCCAGGGGCTGCCACAGGGGCAGAACCTGCAGGATGTGACCTGAGCTCCACTGCAGCACCTCAGCCCCTCATCCCAGGGAGCAGAGACAGAGCGAAGGGAAAAGCTGCCACAGGAACAGCCGGGATGGAGCAAGAGCTCAAACACAAGTTCGGCCACGGGTGGCTTTTCCTGTGGTGTCCATGCCAGGACAGTCCCAGAGCCTGATGAAAACTGGAAGCTCACAGACAATGGAAATGTTGTTACAACTTCTTCGCAGGCATATCTGGAAATTCAGTCCAGACACTCCAACTGCTCCCAGGCAGGGAAGTCGAGCACATGGTGCAGTCCTTCGTCCTCAGTTCTAAACACTGAACTTTGTAAAACCAACAACTGGGTGGTTGTTTTAACGGACTCATACGAAACAAAAAAGTTCACTGGACCTTGGGTTCTCCCTGAACCATCCATTAAGGAAACAGAAATCTGCACTTTGCTGCTTTTTAAGGGAAAAAATAAGCCTGCAGGCAGCTCAGCATGGCAACACTCAGAACCAACCCACATCTGGATGCAAAAGCTTGTTCTGCAAAACAATTTTTAACAGCAATGCTGTGCGACAGGGGCAGTTCCAGCAAACAGTGCAATAAATGATGCATAAACCAGCTCAGGGGGAGGGCAGGGATGGGGCAGCAAGTTGTCCTGCAGATTTACCTGCTCCAAGGAACAAAACAGCCTAATGATATCATTTTATCCTTGTTTTTCCCCCTTGTTCAACAAAGGTGACCAAAATCTCACCCTCTGTTCCAAAAAAAATTACCTCACTGGCCTCTTATCTAATTACAAAATATTTTCCTCTGCCGCTCCATTCCAGCCTCGCAGGGACTTTCCTCGCTGCTGCTCAGCCTCAAGTTTTCCAGAGTCTTTGGGTGGGGGGCAGGAAGGCAGCTTCTTTCCCCTTTCCCTTAATCACAATCAAGCTGGAGGCCTTTGATGCCGATGGCTTTGGCCAAACAACAGCCTGGCAGTTGCTTTGCCGCTCGTCCGGAGGGAACGGGTGGAAGTTTGGGTGAATCCCGCGCCCCGTTACGGGGATGAAGTCACGGATTAACCAGGGATCCTGCTTTTCCTCTCCCTCTTCCCAGCCGATTACAAGGAGGGCCGCGCCCTCCTCTGAGATTGCCGCTTTCATTCCTCGTGGTTGTCATCATGTCTGAGGCCGAGCAGCCAGGGAGGGGTGTCTGACGCCCGGGGTGGCAGGAGCAGGTAAAGGCAAAAAATAAACCCGGCACATCCTTTAAACCTCCCTGAGCTCATCAAACCCACACTTCATCAGGCTGCAAGGGCTCGGCTCCCCTTCTCTCACAGTTAATGGAAAGAGTAAAAGCATCCTCCTTCCATCCCTCTGTTCTGACACTCCGGAACCAGGTGAGTCGCTCCGTGTGATCCCAGCGCGGGTGAAGCGGAGCGGGGTGGGGAGCTCAGCCTGGCCCCCCACACCAGCAGTTTTCCGAACCTTTCTGATCCGGTGCCAGCAGGATGAGCCAGGTGCAGGGCCACCCCATCCACAGCTCCTGCCATTTCCAGGTTGCTCCCTGGGGTTTGCAGGGCAGAAGGACGAGCCCCTTGGGGAGGTGGCACTGGCTCTTCTTGCGGTGGGTCAGAGGTTTTGGCTGCTCCAGCTGGAATGGTGACTGCCAGGAGCCCATCCACGCCCTGAGAAGGGGCAGAGAAACAGCACCGAGGGTGGGGAGAGAAGGGACTTGGCCAGTGCAAAGGCACGGCCGCCACGATCCGTTTGGCTCCCTGGAAAAATGGCAGCAGCTCCACTGACTCCACTCCCGGGAGCTGAGCGTGGCTGCTGGATTGTCCAGGGTCCATTCCCAGACTTCCAAACCATTCACCCTTCAGAGGGGCGTAACTGGAGCCTGGATCGTGGCGCTGCAGGAGAAGAAGTGTTCAGGGAAATACTCCCAACAGATGCCACGCTCCGCTCCCATTCCCAGTTTGAGCAATCACTGTTCACCCAACACAAACCTTCCCAATTCCCCAGGAAAGCACCGACTCACACCCAAGGAATGAGATGCCAGAGCAGGACAAAGCACTGCAAGGATTTCTCCTGACAGGGAAAAATTCCACATAAGAGCAGACGGCAAAGCTTCCAGCACGTCACGGAGCCACATCCATCCTACTGGACCCACGGTCTGTCCCGGAGCTTCCAGGGAACAAGGCAGGTGCCCATGGAGGAGCCAAGAAGCAGGAGGACTGGAAAGGCCCTGTTTTCGCAAGCTTTACACACCTAGCACCAGAATTCCCGACGCAGGGCTGAGAGGAAGGAAAAGGGAAAGCTGGAATCTGTGAATGTTACAGCGGGGAGTTCTCCAAGGAATAGAGATTTGGGAGGGGGGGGGAGGTGTTTTTTTGTTCCTTT